TAACCTTGCCTAGCATGGCTAGTTTAGTTCTTGCCTTAGATCCAAACGCAACCTTATGTGCAACGCATTGCCACATCATTAAACAACATTTATCCAGAGTATGAGGACCAAGAATGAATGAAAACGCCTAAAAAGAAAAAGGAAAAGGTAGTGGCAGCATTATACATTAACGCGATTCTTAATTCCTCACCGACACCTTGCATTGCCATGGACCCGTGCATGCATGGTACTCAGTGACTTGACGACAGAGACTCGAGCGAGAGAGGGAAAACTTTATTTTTCTGAATATGTTTGAAGAAGTCGTGGATCGATTAATAGGGGCCCGGTGTGCTGTGCCTTGAAACCCTCAAATAATCCACGAGTACGCGTGGTGCACACTACAAAATCCCATCGATCACTACCGTTCCAAATCTGTATTTTAGTCATCGATTAAAGTGCTTGGGTTGGATTAAATCTGGCCGTAACCATCTCAATCGACCAACAATATGTGAGCTCGTACACACATGATAAGAGGAGGGAAGACCCCCGAGAAGTTCAAACAAATTGCTCAGTTTCTTAAACTCTATGCTTAGTTAGATTATCAACAATTAAGAACATGATCTGCTTGTTACTAGAACTAGACTATTAATCAGGAGAATATCTCATTAATTTGCACCATTTGAGGTGATCATCAAGGTCTAATGGACGGGACTAATCTTTGAGCAGCAGGACTTGCGATTTTTCTCTCCTTGAAAGTCGATTTTCGATGAGCAATTGGAGGCATAGCTCGTACTACTACGTGGCGTCCCCTCCTTAAATCGCTGCCACCTGGGGATGTCAAGTCTTTTGCAGCTACATGGTTCGCACGGACGAAACATTACTGAGTCAGCACCACTCAACTAATGAAGCCACGGTCATCCATTTACCACTGATTCGATTTGCACGGATCAAACATTCAAAAAGATTAGCACGGACCAAACATCACGACGCACACGCGATCGTTTTGACTCTGCGGCCACACAGGGCCCACCTCCGGCCCGGCCCAGCTCAGCCCGGCCCGGCCCGGCCGACACGCTCTCTTCTCTCTCTGCCTCGAGCTTCTCGTTCCGCGTTAACCCTCCATGTGACCCCTCTGCCACCTTTGCCCCTTCCATCACTCCACCCTCACTCCCTCCACCACCCCACTCCCCCCCAGCTAAACCTCCTCCCCCCTCCACCCAACCCCGCGCGCGCCGCCGCCGCCGCCCCACCGCGCGCGGCCATGAC